TGGTCCCTATTTATCTACTTGCATTTGCATGCTTTCGAACCGCTAGGTTGGCGGGAGCTGGGACAAGCGATGGGCGCTCACTCCGTCGCGTGGATTCGATCTTATGACTGCTGGTCTTCTGACCCTGCAGCACAGGCTTCTGCGGTTTAGCCTGCAGCGCCACCACGTCAAGCAAGCAAGGTACAAGCAAGCAAAGCCCAACTTGTTTTGAAACAGGAAGATCCTTCACCTGGTCAATCATAAACATTCAGGTCCTGAAAAGAGGGTGAAGCAGATACAGTGGTTGCCTGTCTTGCGCTGTGCAGGCGCAACAGCTTTCTGCAAACTGTTTCAGCCTCTTTTCACATTATGAAGGCTTACATTTGCCTTTGGTAAGGCATCCTCTTGTTTCAAAGTGTTTTGGATTGCATCTGGTAATGCTGCAATGTATACGTAGGCTGGGTCCACATACCTTCCCATCTTCATGGTAAAGGAAAATGTTGCGAGTCTTGTTGTCCTTAAGATAGGTGATCTGCAGGCCATTTGGGTGCCCTGTCTTTTCTGGTTGGAACATGGCATTGACAGTGTCAATTTTAATTGCTATTTTCGGTTCTTTTGCCTGAGAAGTAAATACGTTATTATTTATAGAACATCAACATGATACATAGAGGCTGAAATCCTGTTGTGCAGTCTTGCATGAACAATGGGAATGATTTCAGCAGCAGTTGACAGATTGCCACTGATTAAAGGCTTCCTTTGGCAAGTCTGGGGTGCATGTAACTTCATTGTATTGTGTATAAGTTGTGTGTACTCTGAGGTTGTCTTTAATCAGTGATTAATCATTGGTGGTGATTTGCCACCAATGATGACATCATTGCCATTATGCAAATGGAGCTGCACAACAGGATTTTAGCCAGTATCTTACAGAGTATTATAATCACACACAGAAAGAGACAGACCTCTGTTTGCAGCAAGCTTACAAATTTAACTTTGAACACAGATGCAATATCAAGTTAGTAGGGAGGGCAAGGAGAATATGAGCAGAGTTATATTTTGGGAATACAACTCCCAGAATCTACCTGTCATTGTAGCCAGTGGCACACTGACTATAGAATTTTGGGAGATGTACCCCCAGCAGGTAACATTTCCAAGCTCTGATTATGTCAGAGAAAGTCTCAAAGTATTCCTCTGATCCTGTGAAAAACTTCAAACTTTGGGTTGAGATATACAGTACTCACAAGCTCCCACTGTAATAAATTTCTTTAAGGTGTCTCAGAACTGTTGTTTTTTCTGCATAAGACAGGGCGACCCCTCTATGCATGGCTACCTCACTGGAAATTGCCACAAGTAGGTGGATACTCACATCATGCTTGGTGAAATACTTGAGACACCCCTCTCTTTCTGACAGAAGAAATCTGCGGGGCAGATACTGCCTATTGTCTCGGCCTTGTTTCCAGAGAATCCCGTCTTTTAGTCCTAGGAGAGGAAATCCAACAAAAAAGTGAAAAATTGAAGTAGTTTGATCTTCATGAAAATTCTAGAAAGCAGGTGGGTGACCTAGTAAATATATTGTTTTAGCAAGAAACAGGAAAGTATATATAATAGCTACAGGAGCTACACAGAAGCTTAAGGCATTGCACTACAATAGGTCAGAAAGTTTGTCTATGTCAAGGATGGGGAAGGTGTAGCTCTTCAGATGTTGCTAGATGTTTCTATCATCTCTCACCATTGACTATGGTGACTAGGGTGGACCAGGGTTATGTTCTAATAACATCCAAAGAGGCACATAATTTCCCACCTTGATCTATATCGTCCCCAACTTGAAAGCCTCTATATGTCTTGGATTAGAACTTCCATCATCCCAACCATTAGTCACGCTGACCACTCCTGATAAGAGTTGTAATATGAAATAGTAGGGAGATGCTAGTTTGGGGAAGAATTTTGCCCACAGTGGATGAGAAAGTTGATTAGTTGAGTTTCCTTCCTGCAATGCTCTTCTGTCTTGTAGAACTGTTCCATGACAGCAATTCAATAGGTGAAATATCCTGAATCGACCAGAAATAACTTGATTAGTTGAGCTTCCTTCCTGCGATGTTCTTCTGTCTTGTAGAACTGTTCAATGACAGCAATTCAATAGGTGAAATATCCTCTATGTGCTGCTGTGGAATGCATGTAATTCAAAGCTCTGTTTCAGGAAGCATACATTTTCTTCTGATCTCTGTATAGAGGAGGTGGAAAGAAAAGGCAGAGGCGAGAATCCTGTTGCATAGCTCTGCCTACGCAATAGGAATGATATTACTGGCAGTGACAGATTGACACTAATTAAAGTGCTCCTGCTTTGATTTCGGAGTGTGTAAAATTTGGTTTCATTGCATTTATGTTGCATGTGTGTCTGTCTGTTTCTGTGTCTCTGTGTTTACTTATTTATTTAACCAAAGACACAGAAGTACGTGTCTGTGTGTGTCTGTCTGTGTCTCTGTGTTTACTTATTTATTTATTCTCTTGCTTACTTGTTTAATCTATATCCCATCTTTCTTCTAATAAAGAGAAACAAAGTCACATACAGCAACTAAGAACACACACATATGTTTAAAATCTCAATAAATTAAGATATTAACAGTAAAATATGACATAGCTTGATTAATAGAGCTTCTACCTTCCTTCCTGCAATGCTCCTCTATACTGTAGAACTGTATTCTATAGGTGAACCATGACAGCTATTCAATAGGTGAAGCATCCTCTCTTTTCTGCTGTGAAATGCATGTCATCTGTTGGAGTCCTACCTCCCATCCACATTTTGAAGGGTCTTCACAGAAGAAAATGGGCCTCCATATGCTTGGTGCTTGTTTCCTCGGAGATGGGATGGTAGGTGTGAACTTTGCTTTGCCCATCCCCACCACAAAAGGGATCACACAAGAAGATTATAGCTCATGATGTTTCCTGTGCAGCTTCACACCTCCCAACATGTGGGGGCTGCAAACACTGAGCTAGAGTTTTCTCTCTGTCACATTTTGCACAATTTTCCTCTGGTCTGAAAGGAACTGACATCCTATAGCACTCATGATTTTATTTTCTGACTCACATCCAAGGGGTTTAAGAAAGAGTGAAGATACTTCTGCAAAATGCTTCAGTGATTTTATTTTCTGACTCGCATCCAAGGGGTTTAAGAAAGAGAGAGTGAAGATACTTCTGCAAAATGCTTCATCTGGCATGAAAGCTAGCTAGTTGGCTTCTTAGTGCTGTTTGCTGCCAGGCCACAGCAATGAGAATTTTCACATTATCAATATCTTGTCAGTTAAGAGCTCAAGTGTTACAACCAGAGAGGGCTCCTGTACCGAGACAGGCTTGTTATTAAGCAGTCCGAGGTAATTGCCTCAGGAAGCAGATGTTTGGTGCAGTTCTGGCAACCCCAGCTGTTCCCAAGCTCCCCAGCCTTTCCCTTGTCCCTTATGAAGACAACCCAGCTGGAGAAGTCATGTAGCCTATCTGTAGCCACCAATCTTAACCCACTGTTAATCTAGTTTATAGCGCCCCCCCCCCAATTATGTCTCTATATCTTTGGGAGTTTCCGCATCTCTCCCTAATGGCCAAGAGAAAAAAAATAGCTCAAAGTAAGCCGCTGCTTAGATACTGCCCGGCAGAGCTTAAACACTCTGTGGGCAGTTTACAACTTAATTATGCAGGCTGCACTTTGCTCCCCCAGTGAGCTGAGTACTAATTTTACTGACCTCAGAAGACTGAGTCAACCATGAGCTGCTACATGAATTCACAAGGACTGAACTAAGGTCATAAACAGAATCTTGACCATGGTACTGCAATGTGACCACTGTACCATGAGGTTCCTTCCAACAAGTGGGGACTTCAAACATTGAGCTAGAAAAGCAAGAATCATCACTCCTGGAATACTCCAGCAATGGCAATTCTCCTCCAAAGGTGGACAGAGATCTCTCCAATTCTCCCCGTAACTCTTTCACCATGAGACTGGAAATGAATTTTTAATTAATTCTGATTTTTAAAACATATTGAATAATCACATGTTGGGAGGAAGCATAGGCCACAGCAGGTCCCAAGGGGACAAAATGGCCCATCTGGGGCTTGCTCACCCCTGCTGCTTCCTCAGATGTGGTGAAAAATGATGCTAATAATCTGCCAGTCTAGCTTGCTTCAGTCTATGGAAGAGGGAAGGAACACCATACTTCCTTTCATCTCAGGGAGTAATACGTCTCCCTGCCCAGGTAATCCCATCATACCTTCTGCATACGACAGCTAGAACATGCATTACAAACAGAACTCGCCCTGATTTCCTGTGAGTACTGAATTTAGTGTATTCGCAAAGGCTTTCACGGCTGGGATCTAATGGTTGTTGTGGGTTTTTCGGGGGTTTTTCGGGCTCTTTGGCCATGTTCTGAAGGTTGTTCTTCCTAAAGTTTCGCCAGTCTCTGTGGCCAGCATCTTCAGAGGACAGCACTCAGAAGATGCCGGCCACAGAGACTGGCGAAACGTTAGGAAGAACAACCTTCAGAGCCCGAAAAACCCACAACAACCACTGAATTTAGTGTTTGTCTCCAACAGCAGCAGGAAACAACATGTAGAGGGCCTGCATGGCCTAGGACCCACAGGACATAAACTGCCTTCTTCTATATCCCAGACAGGGACTGTGTGGTTTTTTTAGATGCTTTTGTATAGCAACTTCCATCAACATCACCAACAGTGGCAGCCCGGTTTTGAGTTATATCTTTCAGTATTAGCCAAAGATTGAAGAAGGCCAGGGAAAGACAGAGAGCATCATCACCATACCATGCCAATGTAAAAGTGTGACAAAGTGTGTTGCAGGGACTCCCAAAACTGGACTGCCACTTGGAGAGGTAGTGTTGTGCCTCTTGCAATCTGTAATTCCACCCTTAATGGAAGTTATTTTATGTATGGACATAAAGCATGATTTTCCTGTTAACTATATCTTTTGTAACACAGGGAGGAATTATCTCAGGTCAGATTCTCCTACCACTCCAGCAATGTGACTGGCAAAATCCCTTGCCTGGTGACATGTCAGGAGATGGGCATGGAACCCAGACCAGTGGTCCCCAACCTTGGGCCTCCAGATGTTCATGGACTACAACCCCCAGAAGCCTTCACCACCACCTCTGCTGGCCAGGATTTCTGGGAGTTGAAGTCCAAGAACATCTGGAGACCCAAGGTTGGGGACCACTGACCCAGACCATTGGTACAAATGAGACCTCTGCAAATTGACCTGAAATATGAGCAGCTAGGTCTTGAGTGCTGCTCAAAATTAGTAAAAAGTTGTTTGGGGGAATACATTCCCTTGCAGAATTGTTACCATTGGAATATGAAGACTGTTTTCCTGGCTCCATGAATTCTTTCCGTTCATATTTGGCTCGTATCCACTGTTCTCTCAGGACTCTGTGAGGTGTCACAACAAGCAATAGAGTGACAATTCGGAGACATTCCACAATGCTCACCTCCACCCTCTTAGTCCCAATTCAAAAGGAGTGATGGCACTTACAGACAGTCAGTATGGACTGGACGGTAATAGTAAACTGGAACATGAGCCTCGTATCTTGCTTTGGCTTTTGCATTTCCGTGCTGTACCAAAAACTGTAAAGCAGGAAGGTGTGCATGTTAGCATTTCTTTCTACAAGGAATTATCTTGATAAGTGCTACCTTTACCCCTTATGCCTACAAAACCCTTGTACTACTTATAAACTTCAAGTGGACCCCCACAGCTGAACAAAATCATCTCTTGATTAAATGGAAGCCTTTTCATTCATTGTTTTCTTGGACAGAACCTGGAAAAGTTACATTTTTGGAACTACAATTGGTTATAGCAGTTGGAGGATTCTGGGAGTTGTAGTCTAACACAGTAACATTTCAAAGCTCTTGTAGCAGGCCACTCTCAAGCCTCTACCAATCCAGGCCTATAAGAGTGCTCACTACCCCTCACCAAAAACTGCTGCCACCAACCTATCCTTTAAATCAAAAGGACAAGGGTTTCTTTCAAACAAATAAAAGGTTTATTGATCACAAGAAATAAAAGGAGTAAATCACAGGTATAGAATCAAGTTGTCAATTACTGTTTATCAGACACTAGCTCACAAAGACTTCTCCCTCACTGACAGGCACTTTCTCACTCTATCAATCACTCTAATCACTCATCTCTCAAACTCTTCTCAAAACTCCTCACACACACCTTATATAACCCAGCTCCTCCCACTTCTGCACCACCCTCCGTCCTCTCATTGGCTGAGGTTCCCCTGCCCAGCTGTGACGGACAGGTGAGAGCAGAGCTGAATGCCACACCTCTGTTTTGAGAACCTCAGAATGCCACTGAAACTGATATTACATGTACCTCAGGGATGGGCAACTCATGGCCCTCCAAACATTTCTTTGAATTACAACTCAATCATTCAGTGTTGGCTAGAACTGATGGAAGTTGTAGTCCAACATTCTGAAGGACTGCCAGTTACCCACCCCTGCTTTACATAATACCTATGTTCAAGTCTCCCACTGCCCTTTGGGCAACTCTGGTTAGTTTTTGGGGAGTTCTGATCACTCGAAGACAGGATATGCTTGTTCCGCCCATCTAAATCACCCAAAGAATTTATATAAGTAGAGCAAGCTAATATGTGGAATGTTATATCCAAGAGATAAAGGAACAGAGTGGATTCTCTGGTATTCCACTCTACCCACCCACTCCATGCACTGGCAATATCTGAGTGGGTATAAGCAAACAGCTATATTTTCAACATTGGGTTTGCCCAAGTAAAGTATTTAAGATAAAGGTTTATCTACACCTGTTCAAAATAAAGGAACAATTTAAAAAGGTCCACAATATGTATGTGTGTGCGTGCTTTCACACACATTTTGCTGGCTTCATTACTAGTTGAGCCAAATATTGTATCAATATTAATTTTTATCCATGTCCATTTATTTATTATTTATATTTATACCCTGTTTTTCCATTCATGATGCCCAAAGCAGCTAACGAAAACAAACAGAATTAAAATACAAGACAAACAAGACAAGCAAAAGTTCCTTACCTTCACTGGCTTGGCTGTAGATACTGTACTGTTACCTCCAAGAAAGGGAGTTGGAGCACAGGGCCCTTTGCCTGGCAGTTGCCAGAAATGCACTCAGTAACTCCATGGAATTATTGTTAAAGAGATTTCTGCCCTCCTCCTAACCCTCTTTCCTGTCCCACAACAAGGGAAGACTAATGGGAAATTTGCTGGCATGATACATGATTGTCAAGTCAATGCTTGGGGTTCAGGAGGAGAAAGGTGTGACAAACCCAGACCTACTGGCCAATCATGTATCAAGGAGAAAGGAATCCTGGAGTGTCAGGGTGACCCCTAGCCTACATCTTCTAAGTACACAGAGGAGCACAACTGGAAACTGATATTGTCACACCTTCCTTCTTACCTGGAACTAAAATTTCCATTTTGCAAATGAGTCTGTTTGCAGGGACAACAAGATGACACTTGGCTAGATTATCTCTCTTTTTCTTCTGCCCCAATCCCCTAAATGTTGAACCATGTAGCCTGAGGAAGAGGTTGATAGAATGCCTCTCTTCTCCATCATGTTGCTACTGCCTGTTCACTCAGTGTAACCTCCTCACTCTGCTCAATGAGAGAGCTGGCCCTGAATGTTCCACACAAATATCATGGTGTAAAAGTTCTTATGGCAACAAGACTCACCTCCACTTGGCCTTCCTCCCAGCATTCTGCCCTTACGGACTTCACATTGTTGATGCTAGGGATGTTGCAATGAATGTTTGCACAGTCTAAACACAGGAAGACACCCAAACTGCAGGAGGCCCAATGAGGATCTGAGAAGAATAAAATTGAGGTCTGGTTCTTGACAAAGAAAATGGTAGGTATGAACTTCTACTGTGCCCAAGGACTGATACATGTAATCGGGTATCTGCCCAGGATCAAAATGGGGATTATCTGTAAATATTTGACTGCCATGTAGAACTGTAAGTAGCAGTTTTGATATTTGGGGCAAGCAGCACCTTCTCCTGTGCGCTCAGCCATCATCCATGGCATGGCCACTACCCTCTGCTAATGACCATGAAGGAGGAAATCTGTGATAACCCAACCAACCCCAAAGAAAATAACAAAAAGTTTTCAGAAAGAGGGATGTGAACAGGGATGGGAGGTGTTGCAGTTTATTTTCCTAATATTCACCTCTAGATTTTGATAGCCTCTAGATTTTGGTACTATGGAGCAAAGCCCTGCCCTAGCTACAGCTATGGAGCCATGTAACTACCGCCATCCTTGCTTCATATTCACATTCTATTAATATATTAATATATTGGCTGAGATAAGCACTAGCAACTATACTGAGAATCACCAGATTAGGTTTTAAAATGAGATTGTTTCATCATGTACCCCAAAACATGTCCCTTTGTGTTTGATCTTTGTGTTGTGCTCTCTATACAAGTTTGAAAACATTTTTGGTCTATAATTGGGGGATTCTGGGAACTGTAGTTTCTAAAAGTAACTTGTCCAAGCTTTTATAGAATGCTATAAGCTGAGTTTGCAAGGTGTACAATGCCATGGATAACACCTGTTTCTTATCTGTAGCTGAGAAGGACAAAATGTACCTTATGCAGGAGAACGTATTTTATCACCCATTGTATTCATTTTAACAAGAAACATAAAACAAAACAATAGCAGGAGGAAGTGGCATTGTGGCACCTTAAAGACTAACTGCTATATTTTACTGCAAGCTTTTGTGGAACACACACACTTGGTAAGATATAACAGAATACAAAGGCTACATGGTAAAAGGTGCATGCAAGGCTATAAGGTAAAGGGACAGCGATGTTTGGTTGCATTTCACACACAGTAATGATTTAAGACCCCTGTTTGAAATTCAGTTCTTTTAAAGATTGATTTATTACTAAACTGGGGTCTTAAATCATTTCAAGATATTTATTTATTTGTTTGTTTGTTTGTTCGATTTTTACCCCGCCCCTCTAGACAATGTCTACTCGGGACGGCTTACATAGATAAAAACACAAACAGTATATCATATATAAAATCATCAAAAGTACAATTATAACAATTAGTTACATACAACACAATACCCAGATATGAAATGCAACCAAGCACCACTATACCTTTATCTTAGAGCCTTGCATGACTGTTTCACCATGTAATCTCTGTACAGTATACTGTTTCTTATGTCTGATGAAATGGACATGTTCCATGTAAGTTTACATTAAAACATAGCAGTTAGCCTTTAAGGTGTCAAAGTGGGGTTTTTTGTGCTTGTTTTGTTTTGTGTTTCTTGTTGAAATGCTTGCACAGACTAATACGGCTACAACTTTTAAAACTATCATTGTATGAATGTGTGCTTCAGCAGCTCCTTCCTATCCTTCTTTCTCCACCCCACACAATTTTCCCATCAAAATTCCTTCTCCTCAGGAAGCTGCTGTTAATTTTAAGCAAATGGCTGAAGGAGAGCAAGAGAATACTATATCCCTCACCAAATTTTTGACATTAACAACAATGGTAGGGGGTTTACAGGATGTGGATGGCAGAGCTGAACCTGACATTTTAGAAGTCAACAAGTTTATATCTGAGTATCTTCAGCTCTGCATTACGTTCATGCAAGAAGATAAGTATCCTATTCCAAAGTCTCTAAGAGAGTTCAGCAAAGAGTTTTTAAAATATGGCAGCACTGCCAAAGCAGAAAATTATGTTACAGAAGACTATCTGAAGTGGGAAATGAGGTTGAAGGGCTTTAATGTCCTACCTGAAACTCTGATCCTTCTCCTGAATGGCAAAAACTGGATACATTTTGCAGGTATAGTAAATATATACAGCTTTCTCAAATGTATAGAAAGTAACAGAAGTCATTTCCTCCGGGCACACCCCACTCAAATATTTTAAAACACAAAAGAGGCACAGTATCCAATCTGACCCCATCAGACTCAACAAAGCACACAACATAAAATTCCACCCTTCCCAATGCCCCAACCTGAATTCCTTGAATTATTCCAAATTTTCATCAACCTTTTGTCTGCTGCAGGTACCACCTTTGTAAGTTCACCCACCCTCCTCCCAAAGTTTCTCTCTTTTTTCACCTCCAAGACAGGAAGATTTTCTGTACCGGGTTTCCCGCAGTCCGCGCATGAGGCATTTTCTTCTCTCCTCCACACTTCCTGGAGGGCTTTGACATTCTTATCCAAATTTGTAGCCATCATCTTGGCCTGCTTGGGAGCTCTACCGGTAATCCTACACACACCTTGGACAAGAATTAAAAAGGATTCCACGCCACCCCCTGCCTTTTGAAAGAAAAAGCCGTAGCTGCAGAGGTAATGAAGTAACTCTAGGTTGCCAAGGGGCAGGAAAAGTGGCTGTGAAGCCCAGCAAGTACAGCTTGAGGCGATCTAGGCCTCAGCAGCACCTACTGCAGCAGTAGCTGCCACAAAAGACATGAAGCCTGTGGGTGTAAAGGGAAGTACAGCTATTAACCACAGAACCGGTTTTTCCACATCTCTCTCAGTCACAGTGGTTCTTAACCTTTGTTACTCAGGTGTTTTTGAACTGCAACTCTCAGAAATCCCAGCCAGTACAGCTGATGGTGAAGGCTTCTGGGATTTGCAGTCAAAAAACACCTGAATAACAAAGGTTAAGAACCAATGGAAGGACAAGCGTCAGGAAAAAGAACACGTGAGTGGGTGCTCAAAGTGATAAATGTGACAAAGCCTACATTTCTCCCCTATGAACAACACTGGATGTTACTATGACTCCCTGTTTGATAAAAGGTTCAAGGAAAACATCTGCTAAACCTGTATGCAAAAAGGCCCTTTGGAGCTGCCATTGTTTGTACAGTATTCAGATATTTTAAGTAAGTCAAAAGGAAGAAATAAGCAACATGACCAAAATCACACAATGTATCAGTGGCAAAATCAGGAACTCTTGCAGGCAAGGTGTGTACTTTCTCCATATTCTGAAACACTTGCCTTGTTGTGTTATTTATAATCCTAGATCAACACCATTGAGGGGAACATAGAAGACTATGAGGACTGGGAGCACATTTGGGTATTTCCCTGGGCAACAGCGGACCCTTGTAGGCCAACTCTTCCACTCCAGAAACATCACTGGATTGCTTCTGACACGAGTGAAGAACAGCGCTGAGTTAATTGTGAGGGACCTTTCCATCTGAACGTAAATGCCATCACTGGATGGCATGTGTAAAGTGGCAGCCATAAATGGATGGAAATGGCAAGATGGCTGTGTTGAGAAAAGTCCAAATGGCAAGGCCAATTTTTAAAAGGCAAGATATAAGCACTAAGCAGAAGTGAGAGGACTCACTAGATGAACTTCAAGTTTCTTCCCAGAGATTATTCCATGCAATGTCCTCATTCTTTACAAAACAAGTGATATATTGTATTGTTGTTAGGATTTACACCAAAGCTTTGTTTTCATTGAGCTCCCTTTTCTTTTAAAAGCACCTTTACAAAAGTCACTTCATAAACTTAAGTTGCAATCCTATGCATATTTATTTGGAAATAAGCTTCACTAAGCACTATAGAAATGACTTTTAAGTGAACATGTATAGTTAGTTAGGCAACCTTCAGTCTCGAAAGACTATGGTGACGTGCTCTGTATGGGGGACTTGGAACTGGGTCTAGTGTGGCTGGGGAGGCCAATTCGAGAGTGACAATCTCTTCCACCCTGAAGACAAGTCCAATCTGTTTCCTGTCCAGCTCTCTGGTTTTGCTGCTTTTGTGACTTCCTCTTTACCTCGGCCTGCTGGACAAGGGGCTCTTCGAATTGGGAGAGGCCGTGATGCAATGCCTGCCTCCAGGCTGAACGCTCAGGTGTCAGGGTTTCCCATCTGTTGAGGTCTATTCCTAAGGCCTTCAGATCCCGCTTGCAGATATCCTTGTATCGCAGCTGTGGTCTCCCTCTGGGGCGGTTTCCCTGCACTAATTCTCCATACAGGAGATCCTTTGGAATCCGACCATCAGCCATTCTCACGACATGCCCAAGCCAACGTAGATGTCGCTGTTGCACTGTTTAGAACACCTTTTTGACTATAGGAAGCTACCTTATACCGAGTCAAAGTGTTGGTCCATTTAGCTCAGTATTGTCAGCCTAGATCTCCAGGTACTAACAGACTCTGCCCTCCTTAACTTCCCAAACCAGGGTGTTCTGAACCATATAATGGACTCCTTTTGTGTGTAACGTGTGAATGTTGTTACTGCTTTTAAAAAAATTGTATTGCTATTCGATCGTCAATCCAAATGCAGATTTAAGCCAAGAAATCAGAAGACTTGGAAGGGGAGATAAGAAGGAACTAGGAAACACCATGTGCAAGGATGTATCACTGGAAACCAAGGGTAAGGATAATCTACTATGGTACAGTATTTCCAATTACTATGTATGATGTGAAAGCTGGACAGAAGAAGAAAAGTTGACAGGAAAGTGTAGCTTCATTTGAAATGCGGTGTTGGAGGAGGTTCGTGGATACCCGGATCACCAGAAAGACAAGTAACAGGATTCTAGCACGTCATGAGAACTTTTGAATGTACAGAGGGCTAAAATAATTAAGGGGGTGCGGAAGGCAGCCCTTAAAGTGCAGCTTTTCGATGAAGCTGGTCTATAAACATAACAGCAGCCAAATAAATATATTCGCGCTTAACATCAAGTTTATATTTATGAGCTTGTCCAACTCCCCACAAAGCTTGCCGAAGAGTTCTGAAGAACTCAAAAGCTTGCTCCACATCGCGACATGTGGGGCGGCCTCGTTTTCACAAGAGTCTGCTTCGATGCTCTGTCGAAAACTGGCATCAACTGCCGGTACATCGTCTTGGCCGATTCCTTTTAGTGACGGGATTAAAGCAGAGGGTTAAGCCGGAGGACGGCGCTGTTCCACCGAGGCGGAAGAGGCGGCGGCGGCGGCCTCTGCAGGGAGGATTCGGGGCCCTCCCCCTCGGACGCGCCGGAAGCCGAGCGCCCGGCCCGTTTGGGGATCCCGGCAGGCATGGGTCGCAAGAAGAACAAGCAGCGGCGACAGGACGCCAAATTGCGGCGGGTCGTGACTTTTGACGAGGAAAGCCGACGGTGAGTAACGGGGGGGGGAGGAACACGCGAGGAGGAGGAGCGGGGCCGGGTCGCGGGCACCGTTCAGCTTCCCCTCGGGGGGCGCCCCGGCAAGCCTGTCTCGTGGAGGCGGTCCCGACTGTCCGGAAATGCTCCGAGACTGCGGGGAAGGCGGGAGCTTTCAGGGCAGGCACGGCTTGAGGACGGGCCCCGTTCCCACGTGCAGTGGCTTGTACCATCAGGAGGGAGGAGTGGAGTGTGCAGTAACCTTGGGCCTCCAGATGTTCTTGGACTTCAACTCCCAGAAATCCTGGCCAGCAGAGGTGGTGGTGAAGGCTTCTGGGAGTTGTAGTCCAAGAACATGTGGAGGCCCAAGGTTGGGGACCATTGCAGTAGGTGTCCAAATGCTGTGTAAGGGTGGATACACTGTTGTTGTTGTTGTTGTTTTTTTTTGAAAAAAATTGTAAATAATAAACCCCAGAACTCTCTACGAAGGAGTGGCCCAACGCAACAGGCGACGAGCTGCCATTAGAGTTTTTCCCTTGATATCAAGGCTCTGCGTTGTTGCGAATTGGCCGAAGGGCCCATCTCAGCAAGGGAATCCCTGCTGCCCATGTTCCTGGCCCGCCTCATCCTCTGTTCTTCTAGTGGTTCCTTTTCAGAGTAAGGGTCCTCCCAGTCCTTTGACTGTATAAGCTGAGACTGGTTCTGGGAACAGTGGTCCAAAATGTAACATTTCCAAGCCGTGATTCCTGTTTACCTGCGGCTACCTCGGAGACAACAGTGAGGAGCTGAAGGAGCCTCTTCGGTTTGCCTTGCTCTCCTCATCTAGGCAGTACAGATGGGCCCTGGAGGAAGAGCCCCAAAGGAATTGGCCTTCTTGACAATGGAAAGGAGGTTAAATCCCTTAAAGAGGGATGCTTACAATGAGCATCTTGCCAAATATTCCCTCAAAACTACAGCAGAAAAAAACTATCTGCATGTCTGTCTGTTGGTTTAGCTGGTGACACTTTCAAAATGGCATTCCTCCTCCATCACACTTTAAAGTGGCAGTCTTTTCTACCATTGTTTTTTTTCTTCTGTGAAAACCAGTCCCTATAAAGATCGTTTCCATAAAAGTTGTACCACTGCACATGAACTTTTACAGGATATGTGGATTATGAGGGATGCCTATATATTGATTTTTTTTTTTTTGGCAGACTGAAATGTAGAAGAATCACAATTTGTTCTAAGGCAAAATTGGCTGTAGCCAAGTCAACTGATATTAGCCCAGTATATCTAACTTGTTATGATATGTTTTCTTCTCCCAGCGAGTACTTGACTGGATTCCACAAGCGCAAGGTGGAAAGGAGGAAAATTGCTCTGGAGGAGATAAAGGTCAAGCTGAAGGAAGAGCAAAAGAGGATGAAGGATGAGGTACTTACACCTATGGGGTCTTTCTAAAAGTAGTGATTCTGCTGGTGGCCTGACAGGAGCAGGAATGAGACAGGAACACACTTTGACTTTAAAAACCTTCCAGATCTCCTCTTCATGCTTCCGACACAGATTGCAAAAGAAAAATGTTTCTTTTGGACACTCTAATACATCACCTTTGAAACCACAAGAAGAGTTGCTTTATTTGCAGCAGTGTCACTGGAGATAAAATAAATTAGGGGTTTCAATCTTTAGATCTAGAGACAAGCTTTTCTCCCTGTTTTTCCATTTCAGGGCAAAATTTCATAATTTGTCAGAACTCTTTTAGTGTTCTTGGTGCTCTTATAAACAAATTATGTCTTGGTTTGATAGTCTTGTGTTGCATTTGAGTGTGATAACTTTGTATGACATTTAAAGAAGGATATGGATGGTTGCTTGGGAACTAGGAGTGAGACAGGGTAGCCGCCTGCTGAGCCAGACTCTGGGTCAAAATGGGTCAGTGATGTCAACATTGAGTGGTAGTGGATCTTCCCAGGTCTTGGGTCAAGAGTCTTTCCTAGTGCTACCTGGAATTGCAGGTAATTGAAACAGACCATCTGCATACAACTGCACAACAGCTTTTCCCTAAACAAGGTGTTCTGCTAATTCATCCCTTACTCAGAAATGGCTTTGGTTGACTGGGTCCTTTACCCTGACACCCTGGCCTGAACCATCGTGGAAACGGAGACAGATAGCTTCACCTCATAGGCAAGGTCTGTCCTCAGAGGTGCAAACTGAGAAATCATGAGTTCCTTGTAGGCAAACTACAAAAGGACAGTGAGTTCAGTTCTTGTACTAAAAACAGTGTCTTGGGATGAGTATGTGCTCAGAACAATCCTGTTGATTAATTTTAAATGTACAGTATATCTGCTCCCATCCCCATTCTCATTAGTTTGCAACTGGGTTTAGTTGGAAAATTAAGAGGATGGATTCCATAAGCAGCAGCAGTGCAGAATTATTGGAATTTCTCTGGAAGCATGACATTCATCTAGAACTATGGTTCCCAGACTTGGGCAGTGCAACTCCCAGAGGTACTACTAGCTGTGCTGGAGTTTCTGAGAGTTGCAGTCCCAGAATGTCTGAGGACCCAAAGTTGGGAACCACTTCTCTAGAAGACAGATGGGCAACTTTGGTTGAGCTGAGGGGGGGGACAATGACAGTTTTTCACTCCTTGAGGGCCAAATGGCCAGAAAAAGAAATGATTATTAGTATAATCATAATCATAATCAACCTACAGAGTGACCAGACAGCTACTTCTGATTTAGTTTTTTTTCCTTTGAGAGAGCCTTCTAGATCTGAGGGCAATTTGGAACACCTCAGATGCAGAAACTACTGCTCCAGAAGGCCAGTATGAGTAGAAAACCTGTTCTTCATCACCAGGAGGCATAAAAAGTGGAGTGGGAGGAGGGCTACCGTGGGCCACACTTTGCCGATATCTGCTCTTGAAGAAAGTTTGGAAATATGGGGTCCTCCCAATTATTTTTAAGATTGTAGCTCCCATGAGTAGCATAGCCGGTAATGAAGGAATCCTAGAAACTGAAGTCCAGCTATACTATATTTGGAGAGTCACACATTCCTCATTCCTCTAACAAGTTTAACGCTCAAATCATCTTTCTCAACTCATTCCAGATTGGTCTACTCTGCCTGCCCCATTGATTAAGTCAGAATTCCAAGCTTTTCCTTACATTTCATTTGAGAAAGCTTCCTTTTATTTATTCATTTTTCTTTTCCTTGTCTTTCCTACCCTGTTTTTGCCACTTTGTCCCATTTTAGATGTGCAACCTAATAATGTGCATGCTTACTCCAAGGTAAGCTGTGCTACATGTAACTGTTCTTACTCCCAGATGTGTATATTGCTATTATGCCGTAATGTTGTATGACATGGAAAGCTCTGGAAGCTTCCCTTGTATTTACTACAGTCGGGTTTTGAAGTAAAGCAGTTCTCAAGATCAGGTAGTGGGTTTTTAATGATCTTCTCAATATGAACAAGCAAATTGGAAAGCACTCCACAGATTTAAGATCTTTGTATTTTTGCTTGTCTTTTAGAGGCACAAGGAGTACATGAAGATGTTGAAGGAGCGAGAAGAAGCCTTAGGTGAGGGACCCAGCTAAAAGTATAACCATTAAAATTGTCCAGGTTTTGTTAGCCAGGGAAGGTATGGAGTGAGTGGATGCAACGTGTGAGCAGTATTGAAATTTTCCGTGCTATTGTGAGATGGTGCACATCTTGTTTTAGATTCACAGACTGCAATCCTAAGCACATTATTAGGTAAGTGATACACTGAACCGAGTGTAGCATGGCTAAACACACACAAGGCTAGGCAGTGAATTATAAGTAGTTATGAGAGAAATGTAAGCCTCGTTAAAGCATTATTTGTCCTTTTAACCAGAATGTGAGGAGTGTTGTGAATGTTCATAAGAGGAAAAAAAATGTTAAGGTAGGCACATGGGATGGTAGTCCCACAGAAAAGCATTTGAAGCAGTTGAAACAAATTACTGATCTTTATTTTAAAAAAATTACATTTAATTTTATGGCACTGCTGATAATAGTTTGTTTGTTTGTTTGTTTGATTGATTGATTTATACCCCGCCCATCTGGCCTATAAGGCCATTCTAGGCAGCTAGAGTGTTAGAAGGCACCTGAGAGAGAAGCAAAAAATATGTTTGCTCCACAGAGAGTAACGAAAAGAGGGAAAGTGAGACTGACAGATGGGGTTTGACTATTAGATTAACAAGAATCATAGGTGGAAGTAGCAGTCAGAGAATTATCTAAAGCAGAGGTCCCCAATCCGAGGCCTGGTGCCAGTCCGTGGCCTGAGCCCAACTCGGCTGTGGAGAGAGACCTCCCTCCACACAGTCCCACACACACAGCCTATTTGCGCCTGTGTGCGAGCGCCCACTTGAGTGCTGCGCCACCCTTTGCACATGCACACAAGCGCAGGGGGTGCCCCGCCTTCCGCAGCCAGTCCGTGGGGCTAAAAAGGTTGGGGACCACTGATCTAAAGGACAGACAGATGGTTCCTGGGTGTTTAGACAGGTGGAAAGAGCTGATGTTTGGAGGATGCTAGGCTAACAGTTGGAACAAGCACACCAGCACCGTCACCCTCTGTCATTGCTTTCCTCATGTGGCAGGTGATGTTTCTGTACGGAAGTTATTTTAACGTGTGGAGGTTTTTAACACAATCCAGAATCTTAGCTGTCCAAGATTCTTGTTTATGTGGAAGCTTTTGTGCATACGTCTGCAGACGTGACTGCTTTCTGCTGGAGAAAAGCAATGATGAAGGGAGCAGAACTAGCATGCTCCTGTCCTCGCCTGCTGGCTAAACATGGTAATTGGAATGATAGGCTATTCAGTGCTCTTGACGAGCTTTGAGATCTGATGGGGAAATTCCCAGTGGTAGGGAAGCCTATTTAGATTCCTGCCAGAGTTCCTGCCACTGAAATTTGGTGGATCTGTGACACACACACACCCAATTCTTGGATGCAGAAAGGTACCCAAACCATGAATACTGGCAGAGCAGCACAGCTCCTTCCCTTCTGGAAAGGAAGGATAAAAATACCAGAGGTGGGGATGGTTGGGTAGAATATATTTGTGTGCCACTGCAGGCAGATTTTGGGCAGTGGGTTCCTCATCCTAGTGGAAGTGGTGAATGAGGGTCATGAGGTCCACTAAAACACTCTTGGGACTTGTGGATGGGCAGTGTACTGCCCACTTTAGGAAGACACTTTAAGTTTATATTTGGTGCAGGCTGGATTGCGGGTAGGAGGGTTGGCGAAATGAAAAATTGGATTCCTAACAAGCTCAGTAGAAAGGATATTATGGTTCATGGGATTCTAGCTCTGAGGTGCTCATTACAGTGGCATGTATGTGAAGAAGCAGAAAGCAAAAGTAGCCTTTCTGAGAACTCAAAATGCTAGATTTTTTTTAGTTCCATACTTCTAATTTGTTTAAAGAAACTTCTTTAATGGTTGTTGTGGGTTTTTTGGGCTCTTTGGCTATGTTCTGAAGGTTGTTCTTCCTAACATTTCGCCAGTCTCTGTGGCTAGCATCTTCTCTCCTCCTTATCACAACAATACACCCACAACAAGACACACTAATCACCCATCTCCTGAAAAGGACAAAAGCTTATCTAACAGCCATAAATACTCCACTCCCAAGCAAATTACACCAGAGCACAGAGTGCTGTCATCTGAAGATGCCAGCCACAGAGACTGGCGAAACGTTAGGAAGAACAACCTTCAGAACATGGCCAAAGAGCTCAAAAAACCCTTAACAACCGTTAGATCCCGGCCCTGAAAGCCTTTGCGAAAACTTCTTTAACTCTTGGAGTTTCAGATTGTTGCTTGTTTAATCTTTTCAGAGGAAGCTGATGAATTAGAACATCTGGTGACATCCCGCACAGAGTCTGTGAGCTATGACCACCCAGGCCACACAGTCACTGTTACCACCATCAGTGACCTGGACCTCTCAGGAGCGCGCCTGCTGGGGCTGAACACCCATGCGGTAATGCTTTCCCACTTGCTTTAGTGTATGGATCTTTGGTTCAATACTTGTTTTTACCAGAAATATATTGGAGTATTTCTTGATTTAATTTTTCAGTGCAAAACATTTCTGACCAACACTCCTTGTTGGTAAAAGTTGGGTTCTTCCTTCATTTGCAGTCCTTGAATTTCACAACTTACCTTGCTAAGATAAGGGAAGACATCTCTTCAAGATGGCAAAAATGTCTCACTGGGTAGTTGTAGAGGACACAAGGTGGCAAACATAAGGTCAGCCCCACTGCAGAGGGACCAGACAGGAAGTAAATTCCAGGATTGCAAGCAGGCTGGTTGAAGAGTGGGTTCCAGCTAGTTTGTAACATCTCAGCTGGAATTTAGAACAGGCATGTCTTCCAGTGATATTTTATATTGTTTCATCCATGTAGAAATAAAGAGATAGCATGTTGTCTCGAGGAGTGTCCAACCCAGTGTTTAGTGCATAGAAGGCAATTGTTGGGTGCTAAGGGAATACAAAAATACACACTGAGATCACATAAGCTCGATTTCAGTAGAAGAGGACAGAGTTGTGTAAAAACATTTGGATTTGAAAGAGGAGATCTCATTTTTCTACCTAGCCCAGTTGGGAAATATTTGACTTTATCCTCATCATCACTAAGGTACGCACGGGTGTCTTTATGGCCCCAGACACCCCCGTTCACTACCACCAACTGCAGATCCATGTGGCCAACATTTGACTACAGAAAGCTCCCTCCCTGAAAAATACACACTGAGATCACTTAACTTAAGCTCGATTTCAGTAGAAGAGGACAGAGTTGTGTAAAAACATTTGGATTTGAAAGAGGAGATCTCATTTTTCTACCTAGCCCAGTTGGGAAATATTTGACTTTATCCTCATCATCACTAAGGTACGCACGGGTGTCTTTATGGCCCCAGACACCCCCGTTCACTACCACCAACTGCAGATCCATGTGGCCAACATTTGACTACAGAAAGCTCCCTCCCTGAAAAAGTTTTTTTCTCTTCCCTTCAAGAAGGGAAACACACTTGGGGAATTTGAGCAATTAACCTGTCATTTTTTCTCTTTTCCCTTCAAGAAGGGAAACAGATCCTCTGTCCTGCTAGTCTTCAGGGCTCTGACAATGTGTCTAGCCATTTCCGAATATACTTTTCCGTTTTGGTATGAATAGCTTTGCAAGGCAATCCTTCTCCACCTTTTAGTACTATTAAGCAATGCAAATGAACTTGTAGTAAATTTCCATATTTATTTATTTATTTATTTAACTTATATGCCGCCCACACTACCCGAAGGTCTCTGGGCGGCTTACAGCATTTAAAATACAATAAAAAGGCAAAATAAAAGGGCAAAATAATTAAAATGCAATTAAAATATATATTCTAAAAATTGCCATCAGACCTACAGCTGATATTATTTCAGTTAAAAGCCATTTGGAACAGGAAGGTTTTGACCTGGCACCGAAATGTTATCAACGTCGGTGCCAGACGAATCTCATATGAAGTGTCTTTTAGGAACACATTAGTTCTAGGTAAAAAGTAGCCTTCCAGATGTTACAGGGCTGTATCTTCCATTATCCTGTACCATTGGCTATGCGGACTGGGGTTGATAGGAGTTGAAGTCCAATAACATCTGGAAGGCCATAAGTTGCCCAACCCTGCTTTAGTTTAACCCTAACCTCTCTTGCGTTCACAATGGGGAAATTAGAATTTGGTGTGTGCTCCATCTGTTCTCCTCCTGCGGAAGTCTTATGCTTAGCTTCTTCTGGCTTATATATAGCAAAGCTGGAGGGAGTCCAGTCTCTGTGCTGGGCCCTTGCTTGGGGAATTCACTTCCTTTTGGTACCTGCCAGATTGCCATGAGCTACTTACTTAGAGTGCAGAAAGCATAAACTATTCATTTAAAGTGGCTTTTGATCACAAGTAGAGCATTTGTGCACATTGTAAGTCTTTTGATCTTTATCTAAACATGTGACTTTGATAAAACAGGCATGTGTTAAACAGCAGAAATATTCTTTTTTGGACTGAAGGATCATCATAAAGACATGGCTTGAACCTATATATGTATGTGTTGATTTTGTCTAATGCCCTATCCCTTCTCCAAGAAGCTTTCAGGTTCTCCACCTCTATCCTCATAGCAAACCTTTGGTATAAATAGGTGAGAGATAGTTACTGGGAGAAGGTCACTCAGTGAGCTTCATGGCTGGTTCATGGATTTGAAACTGGAGCTCCCTGATTCTAGGCTGGCACACTAACTGCTATAATCTTCCTGTTTCTCATTAATTGTACAGTGCTTTAAGGGCTAAAAATTTTTAGCATCCAAGATCTTGCTACAGTGCCTAGAACAGGATTGTTAATGTAACAAGAGACACTCCTTTTTAATATGCCGTTTAATAATTTGTTCGGCAAAGGGATTTCTATTATATTTTGCAATCAGCTTTCTGGGTGCGGTAGCTTAGATTTGTATTCACTGGCCAGTAGTCTGGCCAGAGGTGTCTAGTTGCAGACCACGCACTTTGCATACATAAAGTCTGAGACTGAGTTCCTGCCATCTCCAGCAAGGCAGGCAGAGATCGAGGGCCTGAGAGCAAAGAAAGCCACTGCCAGGATAAAGCAACTTCATTTGTTCATATGCTAAAGTATAGCATACAAAACAAATGTTTCATTGCTATTAATTGTATGGGTAAATTTGCAGTAGCTGGAAGTTTTAACAACAAAAATTGTTTGTCGTGTTGGAACAGGCTGCTTAACAGTTTCTGCTGGTAACAAACAACTTGGCGGAACGCCTTCTCCCACCTAGATCTACCCGTGTCACTCGCGTGAGCCAGGAGATAAGGCTGAGGAGCCTAACGCCGAGAGAGGCCCGAAAGGAAAAGACCAGAATCCGGGCCTTCTCGGCGGTGGCTCCTCGCCTTTGGAACAACTTGCCCCCTGAGATTCGCGCGGCTCCCTCGCTGGGTATTTTTAAGAAACAGTAACAAACAACTCAAGTGCAGGGAACCTCTGACATTGGCTAGATGTGATCTGTGGGGACACCCCTTTTGGTTCACAAGCTACATCTACTCTTATCTCCCATCGGTGATTTGCAAATACTCAGTCTATAAATACTCCACATGAAACCTAGCTGTGCTTTGCAGTCTGGAAGGCTGTTGCATTGAGGCTTGTTTCTTAATTGTGCAGAGAATTAAGCTGTGCTTTGCTTAGTTAATGATAATGTCGACACTGATAAGAATTATACCTGGTCTCAAACACTTTGCTTTGGTCTTCCTTCTTGTCCCTGCCCACCGCTGGACAACTGGAATTTCAGCCCGTGGTCAAGTCTTCTCTGTGGTTTGGTAATGCTGTATGGGTTCATTTTTCAGGGAGAAGAAGATGGAATGATAAAAGAAGATGACGTCTCCCTCAAATCTGCTGGTACAGTTTCCAAGAAATCAAGATACCCTTTCCTGTCTCAGAGGTACAATGAAAAGTTAAATGTACACACTCAGCTAGGCCTAAGAACATCTTGCCAATCCTCTGAAAAAGCTTGCTGGATAGGATTGTTTTAGTGTTTGAAAAGAAGCCTTCCTTTTCCTCTTCTTGGTCTTTGAACACAAGCTGTTGTTAGGTACATACTTATGTGTGAAGGGCTTTCAGACCTAGCTTATACGGTCTTCCTAGTATGCTTTTGAAGGTCTCACTGGGTGTGACCAGAGCTCAGAAAAGTTACTTTTTTAGACCATAACTCCTAGATGTGCTGGCTGAGGGACTCTTGAGATTTTTACACAAATAACTTGTCTGAGCTATGAGTTATACTCTGGTTGTGTACTCAACATTTAAATAGGTTTATATACTCAGGATTCCTCACTGTCCCACAAGAGGGCAGCCTGTTTCCTATGCACAGTGTCTGCTGTTTCAGGAGGCAGCGTGAAAATTATGTTTTCAAACAAGTGTCCGGTGGCTTATTATTATATACATTCTTATAAAGACTTCTTTAATCGTCCCACAGTATTTCCCCTGTTGCTCCTCATTGCTTTATTCCCCAGTCTCCTATTGCTAATTGCTGCCTGTGGTGTTTCCCAGGGAAATCCTATAGTAATTTCCCGATTGTGTGCTCTGATGGTCTGACTTTAGTCTGGGTAAGAGATACAAGTGCTTGTGCAGTAAAACACGCTTGATGGACCTTGTAATTGTGGAGGACCCTGGCGTGGCAGAAACTGCTGTTCAGTGGAAATGGGAAGGGTGGAGGGTTATACAAGTGTGGTTATTCTGTGCATGGGAGACTACTTTTTTTGGAGATGAACTCACCAGATCTGAGTGGCTGAAATGGCTGGGGGATTTATAATTTGAAAAAAAAATCTTGTGTTCTGAACTAGGCTGAATTTATAGGCCATTCCTGTAGTGACCTGACACCTACCAGTACTTTAATATACTCATTATTTAAGGCATTTTACATCTTATATTGAACTTATACTGCATTAGCTTTGTAGACTTCATTCATCTGCTGTCACTTTGTAACCATTTCGTTGCTGAAAACTTCTTTTCTGTGATTTAGGACTTCATAATAGTGTTTTATGTAGCTTGTTTAAAGCCCAATGAATTTCCCATAGAAATTTCCTTGTAGAGTAGCATATGTTATATATGTAAATGAAATCTTAAAAGGGAAAAGAGGATTGATAATGTGGTTTCCTTTAGAGGGGAAAGTATGGAAGGATTCCAAAAGAGAGGTGGTTTGTTCAAGGACATCTAATGTTTCATGCTCACACTCTTCAAGGAATATGGAACAGCTTAGGTATCTTAGGAGCACAATGAAGGGCCGAGTACTGAGTCTAGAACTTGGTGATAGCCTTTTGGAAAGCATTTTTTAACATTGCTCACTACTGTGTTTGAAAAATAATTTGTCATTGCCTGTTTTAGTCATTCCAAAATGCTGTACTTGGTGCTCTTTTCCTTACTATTTGGGGTTGGGCTTTTTTTCTTTTTTATGGAAAGAAGCCTTACAACTGACAGGAAGAGGGCATAAAATTTAACAAATTCCTCTGAAAGGTCTTCCAAAGTGCCTTGTGGAACTAGTTTTTAAAATAAATTAGATAGCATTACTTGTTACAGCAGTGTTTCAAGTTACTTGTCAGCAGTGTTACAGTTACTTGTTTCAACTTGTTGCTTCACTTTTGAAACTTAACTTCATTATGTCCTTATTGCCAGTGTACAATGTACAGTACATTGCAGGTAACGTCGGCATTGTTTGTAGTTCATTATTTCTAAGCTCTGACTGAGTCAAGCTGATATGTTCCTCTAACCAAGAACGTGTGACCTTCTGCAAAGCGGTTGGACTCTCATGAGTCCCAACCAGCATGCTCAATAGTCAGAGTTGATGAGAATTGAAGTCCAGCAGCCTATGAAGACCCACAGGCTCCCCATCTCTTATCCAGTCCAGTACTACCCAGCCTGGCAGTCATCTCAAGCAGGAAACATCTTCCCCAAATCCTTGCAGAGGCTAGGGATCGAATCTGGGGCTGTCAGCCTGCAAGCTGTGTGCTCAGCCACTTGAGTTATGCCCACTTCCAGGTGGTCTCCCACCCAGGCAGCTTATGAGGCCAGATCTGCTTAACTGCAGCTAAATAGAAGTGTGTCATGTGCCTTCCAAACAGAAAAAGAAGCCAAGTGTGACTTGGAGGTGTGGGGGGAGCAAGGCACAAAGTCAGGGATGAAGATTTAGAAAGCAAGGACTGGAAACTGGCTTGGATTGAAAGTGTATTCTTTTCTTCTTTCTGCTTTCCAGAATCTCTTCACTTACTGCTTCACTGCATTCCCGGAGCCAGAAAAGGACAAAAGGAAAGCAGACCAGAGGCAGTCGAGGCGTTAACAAAAGAGCCCCCAAACCAAGCACGGGGCGAACGAGCAAGGCACAGCGCCGGAAGATGACAGGCAAAGGGAGTCGTGCCCAAGAATGAGGGGCAAGCTGAAGTCAAGCTTGTGGGCTTGTAGAGGACTGCTAATTAATGAACTCTGACTTAACAATGAAAGCCTATTTTTGAATGAGTGACAAGGTTTGCCCTGCTGGGGGCTGCAGAGAAGGTGCAGAACTTGCTTGAAATAATCCAGGTGCCCACAAATGCAGCACCTGTGAAATCCTTGTGATGCACAGGCTAGGCAGGTGTGAGTCTGTTTAGAGCCATGGCTGAGGGTGGCGGGAGGTTGCCAGTATTAAATTGTCACATCATACCATGGGGAGGAGGGGTGCTGATTTAGATTCGTGTTCTGGCTCTTACCTCTCCTTGTGGAGCCCTCCTGCAGAGTTCAAGCATCCTCTCTGGGAGCTCTGGAGCTAAGCCCACAAGTGGTTGAGCACAGAGACAAAAGGCAGCACCTCATCCCTTTATAATTCTCTTTTTATATATTTATAAATGTGTCTTTTGGAAAAAAGACTGTGCTTTTGTTTCTCATGGATCTTTTTGCCTTTGAGCAGGGAAAATTAATTCTTATGGTTTGTCCTGTATATACACAGCATTTTTGACTAAAGACGCTTTGCAACCTTTGTTCTGTTTCACCCTCCCTAAGGAACATATTGGACGGCTGCTGTTTCCTCTTGGAAATGGAAACTAAGGGCACTTCCAGGCAAGTGTCTCTGAGTATCAGCAATTACACACCATTTATAGCTACATTTCTCCAAAAGACTTAACATGTAGCCGTGTTAATCTGTATAAGCATAGCAACAAGAAACGTAAAGCAAAAAAAAAACAAGCAAAAGAAAAAAAGATTCTGAGGCACCTTGAAGACTAACTGCTATATTTCAAAAAGCAAAAAAAAAAAGCAAAAAAAAAAACAACAACAAACGATTCTGAGGCACCTTAAAGACTAACTGCTATATTTCAATGTATCGCTGTTTTGTCTTTTTCTTGATGAAATTTCTGTGCTAAGAAAAAAGATGGCAGGAGTGACAGGAAAGCTTGGGAGGGTTATAAATAGAATATCACAACTGATTTCACATCCTAAAGTTCAATGGATGAAGCAGGGGGATGGCACAACAATACCTAGTCTGGAAGCCCCCTAATCTCCTAGCCTTGTTCTAAATCTAGGTACACATACAGATTTTCTAGCAACTTTGATCACAGGGTGAGCCTCCCAGTGTAGAGGAAGCATTCCTCTTTGGAAAATCACTCTTCATCTGAGAAAAGCCAGGACCAGAGGAGGTTACCTTTTGCTTTTTGAACAACCAGACATGGCTGCTGAGCAGCATGTTTCTGATCTGAGGCAAGGGGCCCATGTTAGAAATGGCATGGCAGAGTCCTGGCCTCCCAGATCAATAGCCAGCATCTGCTGCCAGCAAGGAATGGTGTGTGTTTTTTAAAAAAGAGCTGGTGAAGAGACTTTTGTGGGGTTGCACTTAATCAGTAGAATCTGTCTTTTAATTTTGTCAAACACCCTGAGCCATAGTAGTGGGTCCTGGTCTGTTTCCAGCCACAGTGAAATTATTTTTGTCATATCCTAGGTGGAGCGGTGCCCATTCTGTGGCTGTCTGGAACATGGGCTACTGGTGCATTCATGCTCTGTTTTAAGGTGACATTAAGGCTTTTCATGTGGGCATGCTCGAGCTTCTTGTTTAGCATGGGTGATGAGGTCACATGTCATCCTTTCCAGACTTTCCTTTTCAGCTGAGCTAAACTGTAGTCCTCAGACAGAATCAGGATATTTTTTTTTACAGCAATATATATTGTGAGCTATCCCGGTTGATAATGTATTTCTAGGTGGTTTGGTCTTTCAAAAGGACAATTAAGATCAATTGGCTTTACACTGCTCCCGGAGAAGATGTAAATTGCTGTTGCTGGTTTGTGGCCAGCCTTACTTGCATTTTTTAAAGATCCTCTTTGGGGGCCTGCCTGTGGTGGTGGTGGCCCACAAGGCTTGTCCTTCAATATTTGCTACCCCACCATTGCTTAAATGCCTTGAGAGCAGTCATCTGTTCCAGGTGTCTCCTTAAACCTTAAAATCCGTCACTGGAGGTTAGAATTGGGGAAGAAAGCCTTCTCGCTTCTGGAGGTTTTGTCTGGGGTGTTCCCTCCCTCCCATGGAGACTCAATTTGCACCACATTTTATCTTTTTCCAGTAACCACATAAATCATATTTGCTCTGGCTTTTAACTGTTTTGATTTTGCTGCTTGGAGTCAATGTACTTTGACGGAACGTCTAACGTCTCCTGATGGATCAGAAGGTTGGGAAGCATTTGAGGCTTTGTGTTCTAAAATGAGGCTCTTGGGGGACCAAGGTAGAAAACAGTGCTGCTGCTGCTGCATTAGTGCCATATGCACGTTCCCCCACCCCGCCCGTAAATAAATTTTACACCAGAGGGTTGACTTCTTTACAAATGTTAATAGAACTCAAGAGAGCACAGGAGAGTTCTTGAGGGTGCGGATCACTGTGTGTGTTTGTGTGTGCGCGCGTGCGTGAAGAGTTCTTGAGGGTGGGGGTCAGTGTGTGTTTGTATGTGTGTGTGCGTGCGTTTCTGCCTTGTGACTCAATCATGTGAGGATTTGGGTATGCAGCTCATAGGATTAAGCTTTTGGGCTATTCCTAGTGTATGGCTAAAAGCCAGTAGTAGTAGCTTCAGGGCAGTAAGATGAGTTTCTCTTTTTCCCCTTTAATCTTCTGGTTTCTGGGATGCTATGGAACCATCACTGCTTTGGAGGGGGGACCCTGACAGGTGTGTTCTCTTTTTTAGAAGGGAGTACTTTTCATATCTGCTGTTCAAAGTTGCTAAGCTACAGTGCTTCACTCCTGTACACACTCAGAAGGGTTCTCTGAACGCTAAAGTTGTTAATAGCAAGAGAATGGGAACAGTGTGAGCGAAAGGCTTGATGTCGGAGTGCAGAAGGCAAATATGAGAAAACTTGTCCCATTTCTGAATCACTCATCTGGTACGGTTACATTCCTCATCTGCAGAGAACAGACTGTAGCTCAGCTGGTGAAACCAGACTCCTGTGATGCTGATGCTGTTTTTATTTAACTCAGCGTGCAGTCCTCTGAAAAAGACGGCATGAGCAATCCAGTGCTACAGTAATGCCTCAGTCAAAATCCTGAGTCGTGCTGAAACTTTAACCATTTGACTTCTAAAACGGTTTTGCTAGATTGCCATGTGATTTACAGGACAGTCTTATGGTTGAAGCTGAGGCTCCCTACTTTGGCCATCTGATGAGAAGACTCCTTGGAAAAGACCTTGATGTTAGGAAAGTGTGACGGCAAGAGGAGAAGGGGACGACCGAGGATGAGATGGCTGGACAGTGTCTGCGAAGCAACCAACATGAAATTGACAGACCTCCGGGAGACAGTGGAAGATAGGAGGGCCTGGCGTGCTCTGGTCCATGGGGTCACGAAGAGTCGGACACGACTAAACAACTAAACAACAACAACTTATGGTTGAGCCTTGATACCTGGGTGAGAATGAACTTGCTGCTCACTGAAAGTCTTCTTCCACCTATGGTGAGGATGGTGTACTGCAAGGATGAGGAATATCTGGGGCCCCAGATACTGATGGACTGCAAATCCCATCAGCCCTAAGCAGAAGGGTCATGGGCATTATAGTTCAGCAACTATTTGCTATCTTCTGCAAGCTGGCAGAATATTAATTTGATGCAAGTCCTCAGTCATTATACTTATGGTATAGGAAGGAATGAGTGAAATTGGGGGTAGGGACAGAAAGTATCTAGATCAGGTCCTCTTCCCCCTGCATGTGAATGTGTATTAGCAAAATAGATCTTACATTTGAATATTATACCCCCTGGAACTGATGATCGAGCCCATGTTGGCCATCTTATTGGAGGACATCGTTCTAATTAATCTTGTCATTGTGACATCATTGACATCATTGTCAAAATATCCAAGATATTTTGCTGCCTAAGTCAAAGATCTGGATGGCACTGCTTCCCCATTCCAGCCTCGGAAGCTGATCACAGCAGTGCTGATGCAGTAGCTCTGTTCACGCATTCTTGCAGCTTGTGTTCTCCATACATAATGAGGATAGCAGAAAAGCAAAGCTGCTGAAAGTGAGTTTAGAAGAGTAAGGCGTGCCTGTGCTAGGCTCTCCATGAGAGACAAAAGCCTGATTTTGTCATGTTTTTGGCTTACACATACACAACAGCCTCTCCCCAACCCTTTTCAGGCCCTTGCTTTCCCATATTGAAATCAACAACAGTGGGGCATGGGGCAGCATGCTCCCCCTCCCTTGTCATGTGTGGAGGACACACATAGTAAGAATGACTCACTGCAGCTCTTGTTTTTCTGACAGTAGCAGGCTAATGTAATGGATGCAGGACAAGGCCTCCATACCTTTGTTTTACAAAATCTTGCTGATGAACCCCATCCTCTTAATATCATCCTGAGGTAGCCACCTCACTTTGTCTAATGGTAGGGCTAGCCTTACCGATCATAGTTCAGCATCAGGAATGTAGAAGCTTTCAGAGTAGGGGATACAACCTATCTTTTGACATTTGTACCATGGAGCCCTTTGACCCAATTTTTAGAGAACTATGATGAGCTCTTAAAGTGACAAAATAGTTTACCTCTACGTGAAAGCCAGGAGGAAAAAACAAAGTCCACATGGGGTATGTGTGTGAATACTATCTGTAAGCTCAGAACAATGAACAACAGAACTCCAGTTAAAAATGGCCCTCAGCCACTTCAGTTCCAATTTTCTAGTTGCAAAATCAAGGCATCCCACTAGAATATGTGTGGACTTCATAAGAACTACTGAATAAAGGTCCATTAATCCAGCATTAATGAATGAATGTCTCTGGGAAACCCAAAGCAAGGCGCTGAAGGCAATAGATCTGTAACTCCAGTTTTCCAGCAATTGCTAGTGAGAGGTATATTGGCTCCAGTACTGGAGGCAGAAATTTGAAAGGTTACTTGGGACTACAACTTCCAGAATCCCACAATTATCATGGCTGCATCAGAGGGATTCTGGAAATTTTAATCCTCTATGAATTTAGCATATCCCCCTTTAAAGTTGTCTGGGGAATAACAAGCAAATTGCCAGGAGAGGGAACAAATAACATTTTTTAAAAAAAAACTCTGTCTTGTTGTTTGTTATTATTTATTCTCCAAAATACAAGCATTGCCATTATATGTGGGAGTGAATACTGTGGAACAGCTTATTATGCAATTCTGTTACTTTTAGACTGTGGAGAATCGGAGCCTGTGTGGTGTAGTGGACAGAATGTCAAACAAGGACTCCGGAGACCTCAGCTCAAATCCTTGCTTGGCTATGAAAATTCATTGAAAGGGCAGTTATAAACTATTCTTTCAACATTTCACATACTTCAAAAACCCCATCAAGTTTGCCTTAAGTTGGAAGCAACTTGATGGCATGTAACCACAATGATTTTTGGAGAACTAAAAAAAATAGGCATAACAACTTTTCAATATAGCTTGTCGTGCTCCTCATTTTCTCTTCTGGTCAAGTATTTGGGCCATAGTTGAACCAAAAGGCCGAATCTGTTTACAGCACTCGTGGAGCCTTCTGAACCAGACCAGCAACCTTCC